CTCAGCTCGGGCTGGACTCGAACCGCTGTTGCTCAGAGCTCAAACTCTTGAGCGAGCTCTTAACCAACTGAGCCACTCGGCCGGCCCTAAGAAATCTAATATTTTTTTTAAAAAAGCAGAATACTTGAAAAAAATAATTTTAAAATATTCTTTTTTTTTTTTTTTGCAACACCTTCCCCTCCCCCAGATAAGATATTCAAGGAAATTGAGTTGTCCTCTATTTGGAACTATAAATGTTATGAAGTCAGTAATAGAACCAGTAGTAAAGTAATAAAGTGTCTCCATCCTACATGGAATTATGATGATATCCCCAAATCTAAAGTCCTGATTACACCTAATTCTATTTTCAGAAATATCTCTAGAGTCATAACCTAGTCCTTAGGATCCCAGGCTCTACTTCTTCTCTAATTTCCCAATCGTATGCTGCATATGCATTTTTTGTTCTAATTACAATGGGGTCCTTCAGTTAAGACTCAGCTTAAAGGTAGCCTCTTCCACTAAACAGGTGTGGAAAGCCACATCAGTGCAAAGGCTCTGGGGGTATTGAAATGGGTTCCAACTCAAGGGAGAGAAATCTTTTATTGAATTCCTTAATATAAATTATTTTACGAAGTCATGCTCTTAACTTTCTGGCATCTTGTAGCTTTAGATTTCACAACAAAGAAGATTGGGGGCTAATAGTAACATTACAAGAAGAAACATTAGGGAGGCAGATGCTAAGAGAGTCTGAACATGTGCCTGCGTTTGGGATACAAAGAGAAAATATAGGCCTGAGAGCTCCTTGGAAGGCAAGATGTGTGAAATTATAAATGAGGAGTCTCTTTGTCACATCATAGAATGATATCTGCCGATTCTTACAGTCTAGGAAAATTCCAACTTTGTGCATCGGCTCTCCCAAGGAGACTCTTTTTAAAGGGGGAAAGACCCAGAAGGTCCAATCAGTTCCCATCATGACGCCCATGAGTAAGACTTTATCTCCATAAGCTTTGGGCATGTCACCCTTTCTGCGGGCAGGGTCTTCATATACACCCAACTGCCACTTTGTTGCCTTTTGCACATCCACCTCCCAGTAGTGCTTCCCAGAGATGAAGCAATCCCCACCCAAAACAGTAGCTCTGAAGTCAAATCTCCCAGGGTTGCCAGGTATGTCCTGCGGAACATTTCTGAGTCTTACACTTCTCAGATCCTCAGATAAGACAAGACAGGGATGAGCTGTTTTAGGATCCAAAGTTATAGGTCCTGTAGGGAGAGAGAAATTTAGTTAACCTAGGGGTTCACCAAAGTTAGTTCTAGAGACTGATGATTTCTAACATGCCGCGGCTTCCCAATGAGTGAACATGAGTCTCAGGCAGATATGGAAGAGGAGATGCAGAAGAATCTAGGATGAGGAGCTTCTAAACTTTGCTTCAAGAAATGGACATTATAAGGGAACGAAGTCAATAAGATGATGGAAGAAGATGCAATGTATCTGAGGAAGAAGAACAAAACGAATAACAATGGACTACGAGGTGTAGACATACCTTTCAAACCAGAAAGGAATTTTACTAGGATGTGAAAATGTCCTGGTATCCAGTCCTAGCCAGATATTACCTGGGACCCAACTCTAGTCCCCTAATGATCTTCTCCAAGCCTGGAACAGGCAGAAGCATTGGAGTCTCCTAATAAAGCAGTCCATTCATGGCTCTTCCTTATGACCGATGCTCTTCTCATATTAAATATCACCAGAGTGTGATAGATGCCTAGAAATCTCTGCCAGCAGACCCTTGATAGTGAGTAAATCAAATGAGAATATATCAGCAGAGGCTAGAAAAGCCTGTGAGAATCCTGCAGAAAAATCAAGCTGAGAACAAGAAAGCTCAACGTGATTTCTTATACTTTGAAAGTGATACTCTGACTGTTCCTTCTCTATATCTTCCTTTTCAACCTCTAAATATTGTGATTTCTCATGGCTCAGTCCTGAGTCTTCCTTTTTTACTTCATGTACTCCCCCCCACTACTTTGTATAGCCTCAATTTTAAATATCTTCTGTACATTCATGGCTTACTCCATAAATAAGCTGCCAAATACCAGTTGGGCATAACACAGGCATTTCAAACATACTACGTCCAAAATGGAACTCCCAAACCTATCCCTTTCCACTTTTCTACTTTTCAGTTAATAACACACTAATGCTTTAGTTGATTAAGCCACAAACCTCAAGTAGTTATTTATTTCTTACTTTAACATCTAATCCAATAGCAAGTTTTACTGCCAAATGAACTTAAATCTCTGGACTTGAAGCCAAATTCCTGTCATTATCAGGGTGCTCATAAAAGCCACAAGCCTTGAGTTTTAAGTTTTAAGTTGCCCGTAGCTCCTAGTATTTCCAGAAGACTGCAAATTCTTTCTGGAAGACTGCACATCTTCATTCTTGGCCTCAAATAATTTCTAAAAGTAATATCTCAGTAGAAAAGGAAAGCTTACGTATTTTTAAAAAATCATTAAACACACCCTCACAAAGTAGGGAAGTGCTATTGAGTGAGACTAGCAGAAATAAATCTGAAGAAATTAAACATTTGAATTAACAGGCACAGATTCTAAAATAATTTTTACTACGTTTGAAGTAAAAAAAAAAAAAAGCTTAAAAATATCTTCAGGATACAGGATATAGGAAACTGAAAATAAGACCAAGTGGACTTGACAAAGAACCAAATAGATTATCTAGAAATGAACTCAACATCCATTCATGATAAAAAGTCTTTTCAAACCAGGAACAGAGGGGAACTTCCTCAACTTGGTGAAAGGCAACTATGAAAAACATACAGCCAACTGTTAAACTTAAAGGTGAAAGACTTAACACTTTCTTTCTCCCCAAGATCAAGAACAAGGGAAATGTTTCTCGCCACTTCTATTCATTGTCATATTTGAGGTCCTAATCAGTATAGTAAGGTGAGAAAATACAGAAAAGGCTTACAGATTGAAAAGAAATAAATAAAACTGCATTAACTGTATTCACAGATTATCTGACTATCTTTGTAGAAAATCTCATAGAATCTATAAGGAAGCCAGATCAAATAAATGAGTTTAGCATAGCTTTAAATACAATGTCAACATATACGAATCGATATTATTTCTATATACTAGTAATAAACTAAAAGTAAATAAAACTTAAATTAGAAATTAATATTTAATACAATTAATAATAGCACTAAAAATAAAATACTTAGGGATCCATTTAAATATGCATAATATTTGTTTGCTGAAAATTACAAAATACTGATGAGAGAAATCAAAAACCACCTAAATAAATGAAGATATATAATTTTATCCCCAAATTGATATATACAGTCAATGTAAAGCCAATCAAAACCACACAGTTTTTTTAGCATGGCTTTTTTTTGTTAGAAGCCAACAAGCTGCTTTTAAAATTTACGTGGAAAAATCAAAGGATGTAGAGTAGCCAAAATTACTTTTTAAAGAAAAAAGATGGAGAATTCACAATGCCCTGTTTTATGACTTTCTATAGAGTAAAAAAAAAAAAAAAAATCAAACCAATGTAGTATTAGCGAAAGGATAAACACAATGATGGATGGTTCTATTAGAGTCTGTATAGACCTGCTCATATGTGACAACTGATTTTCAACAAAGGTGCTAGGTAATTTTAATGGAGGATAGTATTCTCAACAAATGATGTGGAACAACTGGATATGGATACATACACACACACACACACACACACACACACACACACACACACACACACACACACAAGGTAGCTGTACCACATCTTGAATCCTATACAAATATTAACTCTAAATGGGTAATAAACAAAAATATAAAAGCTGAAACTGTAAAACTTCTAGGAGAAAATTTTTGTTGGGGTAGAAAAAGGTTTCTAAGATAGGATGCAAAAAGCACAAATCATAAAAGTAAAAAGTGATAAACGGAAGTTCAAAATTTAAAACTTCTGCTCTTCAAAAGACACTATCATGTGAGTGAAAATATAAACCACAGACAGGGAGAAATATTTGCAAAACACTTATCTGATAAAGGATTGGTAGAATATACGAAGAAATCACAAAACTCAATAAGAAGATAAACAATTTTTAAAATGAGGAACGTGTTCATAGATCTACTTCAAAGAGCAGTAGTAAAATGTAAGTAAACACATGAAAAATACACCCAATGTCATTAGTCATTTCAGAAATGGAAATTAAAAATCAAAATGATATACTACTATATACCTAATTAGACTAGCTTTAGTAAAATTTTAAAAAAAGGCAATACCAAATAACATCTTTACTGGTGGAAATGCAAAATGGCATAGTTATTGAACCAAAAGAAATGAAGTCATGGTCACACAAAAATCTGTAAGCAAATATTCATAGCATCAAGTCAGAAACAAGTGTCCATGGAATTGCAAAAGGATAAATAAATTGTGGTATGTTCATACAATGGAATACCACACAATGACAAAAAGGAACAATCTACTGATACAGGCAACAAACTAGGATGTGCCTCAAATACATTACACTAAGTGAAAGGAGCCAGACTCAAAAGGCCACATACTGTATGAATCCCTTGACAGGACATTCTGGAAAAGGCAAAACTATATGGGTAGAAGATAACAATCCTTCATTACCCATATTGATATTTTCCCCCTAAAAGTTTAAAATTTTTAAACTGAGAAATCTGCCTGCAGTGACGTTTCAGGTTTGGGAAAATGACCAAAAATCTGCACAGGAGAGCCTTTCAATGTCAGATCATGCAATTATCTTGATAATTATCTATTGCGTCTAAGCATATTAAACTCTCCGATCTTTTATATCCTTAAGCTTTCCAGAATTTACTTTTGTTTATGGTAGGATTTAATCACAGATGTACATCAACTTACTTTGGAGTACTTTCAACATTTTGTTCATTCCTGGAATCTGGCATAAACTCAGTTCTGTGATTTGGGCAGGCTCTAGACATTCAAGCAGTGGTGACCCACCACTCCTACAAAGAAAGGACAAGTTCAGTTCTGTGGGCAGATCCCAAGCCCCTCCACCCAGATGGTGTCATTACAGGACCTCCCTATCTCTACCCCAATAACAAACTGGCTTTACTGTTCACACATCAGACATTGATTCTGACCCAATGTTTCCAAAATGAAAACTTACCATTCCAAACAGTATCTTGCATCCTACGGGGGATAAAAAAGAAACACGATTACTACCAGCCAAGCCTTTTGTGAGTTATGCCCATGAAAATATGTTCTAGGGCTGGCCGAGTGGCTCAGTTGGTTACGAGTTTGCTTAAGAGCATGAGCTCTGAGCAACAGGGCGTTGGTTCAATTCCCATGTGGGCCAGTAAGCTTCGCCTGAACTGCGCCCAAGCTAAGCTGCCGCTGAGCTGCTAACAAGTGGCAGGATGGCTCAGCTGGTGAGAGCACGTGCTCCTAATGACAAGATTGCCTGTTCGATGGTGGGCTATGACCACCCATGGCTGGGACTGAACTCAGCACCTTGAGCTGAGCTGCCGCCTGGATGGCTCAGTGGATAGAGTGTGCGTTCTTAACAGCAAGGTTGCTGGTTTAACTCCCGCATTAACAAAAAAGAAAATATGTTCTAATAATGAAATTTGATTTCCATGTAATTTCTTCAGTTTCATGATGCTACTTCTCAGATATCAAATTTTAACAATGAATAGGAAAAGTTGGAAAAATGTATGAAGTCACTGTTATATTTCCAAGGGAAATATTTTCTATACCTCACCTCAGCCATCTTATTCAGAACGATCTTCATTCCAGCTCAACCCATCTATTTGCTTTCTATAGTGGGGGTGGCAAGGTTAAGCACATGAAGGGGCCTGCAGGGCTGGAGAGTGTGGTTGGAGCCAGGTCAGGAACTAAGCTTATTTGGGTCACACCTATCCACACCATGTAGAACTAGGCTTGATTCTAAAACAAGAGCTAGAGGTTTATGGGTAGGAGCTTCTCAAATAAGGGTACTCACATTGCAAATATGGGCCTTGCAGAGGGATATGGATAGTCTTACAAAGATTAATAATTTACTTGTTGAAAAGGTAATGCATGTTACCATGCAAAATTCATGATACACAATACTATACAAATAAATATCACCCTTGTTTCTCAACGCTACCAGTAATTAAAATGTGTGTTTATTTTGCCAGAGGCAGTATGAACCTTATCAAGCATGGGTCTATATGTATATTCTATAAAACCAAACAAAAAGCAGTTCTGCATTTTTTGTTTTTTGTCTTTTTCACTTAATGAGATATCTTTTTTTAAGATTTCATTGGGGAATTGGGGGAGGGGAACAATGTTGAGGAATTGGAGAAGGGGAACAGCCAAGTTGCTGTCCTTCAATCTTAGTTGTGGAGGGCGCAGCAAGCTCAGCTCCAAGTCCAGTCATGCCGCTCAGCTCAAGGTGCTGTGTTCAGTTAGTTGCAGGTAAGCGTAGCCACCATCTCATGGGGGAGTTGAATCGGCAGCCTTGTTAAGAGCACGCGCTTTATCCCCTGAGCCACCTTGGCAGCAGCTCAGCTCAAGGTGCTGAGTTCAGTCTTTAGTGTGGGCGGGCGTAGCCCACTATCTGGAACAGACAGTCTTGTTAGCAGCACATGCTTTCACCAGCTCAGCCATCCTGCCACCTTTTGGTAGCTCAATGGCAGCTCAGCTCAGGTACAGCTCACTGGCCCATGTGGGAATCGAACCAGTGACCCTGTTGCTCAGAGCTCGCACTCTTGAGCAAGCTCTTAATCAACTGAGCCACTCAGCCAGTCCCCTTAATGAGATATCTTGAAGAAANGCAGTGTCACTGGCCCTCATATGTGGGATCCGAACCGGGGCCCTCTGGCGTCCCAAGCCAGTTCTTAACCATCGCGCCACTTGGCCGGCCCAGAGCTCACACTCTTGAGTGAGCTCTTAACCAACTGAGCCACTTGACCGGCCCAAGCCTTCTTTTTTTTAACAATAGAATATCCTCTGCAAAACAATGGGCTGCCTTTAGTTGGGAACAATTATGACTGAGCCAATGAAGTTCAGATTTTTGGCAAAGGTCACATTTTAAGAAAAACAAAATTGATGAAGTTAGACTAAAGAGGGTCTGGTTCCAGCTTGGACACTTAATTGCCATGACCCCCACCAACCCACTGAATACTGATCATCAATCATCAGCAAAATGAGAATAACTATAACCATCTTTCGTGTATGTGTGGGCATTAAGTGAGAGGTTATATAAAACATGCATATGAGAAAGGTGGTAAAAAGGAGACATTTCTCTCTAAATGAGTATCCTTTCTTTCCTCTGCTCATCCACAGTCATGTTTTTTGACAGAGTCAAGAACATAGTCTTCCTCATAAATGAAGTGTGTAACCAGGACTTTGGTAGAGATGACACAGATGAGTTACAGGGCAAATGAGAAATAAAGAGCCTTTTTATGCTCCATTTAATTTCTTTTGTCTAATAACATATACATGACAATGGTAACTAATTGATATTGAGACATTCAGCTTTAATTAGTGTGATATTTTTATCCTAAAACTTGAAGACTACTGGCCTCTATATATTATCATAAATGGCCTTCCATTTATGGCAGAAATCATCTCAATAATAAATCTACATCATCAACATATTAAAATCTGCTTGCTGCTCACTGTACTAAATCATATGTAGCTCTATGCCTTTATGTCAAACAAGAAATCAAAAACCTGTTTGCCACCTTAAAGTCATCTGATAATTGTGACATCTTTTAAGACCTGAAAGTGCACTTGTTAAAAGACTGGCACTAAAGCTTTAAGGGATTAACCAACCTATTGACTGAGGAAAAGGCAGCTTTATAAATAGACTTGATCAGAGACCTGTTTCAATATGAACATAATCAATCATGTGGTCCCACACCCAGAGAGGAACAGACTATTCTAGAGGAAGAAGGGATAGAAACTCCAAGTCCTGGTCAGTCAATGCCTTTTGAGCTTCCTTTGCTTGGCCCGTTCCAAATTCTTTGGGGTGTACTTGCTTTTCTAATAATGACCCTTGAGCCATTCTCTACTGCTCGGGCCCTGCTTCTGCTTCTTTGAAATGTATTTTTACTTCTAATAAACTCCTTTTCTGCAACTTTACCTCTCTGGTTCATGTCTCCATTCTTTGGTTCCACAAGACCTTGATCCTGGCACAAGAAATGTCCTACATCATTTGGGGACTCACCTGGGATTGAAGGAGAGGTAAATATAATCTATGCTTTTCTATTTGCTTTGCCCACTCAAGGGTCTTCATCTATATTTTTCTGTCACACAAACATTGGGCCTCCAACAGTCAGGTAAAGGCGACTAGCTCAGCTACCAATCTTAAGACTCAGAGGACAGGCTTTGTAGGAAGGCTCTGATCAATCCCCTCTGGTGCTAAACTGGAAGAATATTGGTTTTAGCCCGACTGCTTTCTCTCTTGTAAGGAGGGAGCCAAGGATGGTGCGAGGTTGGGGCGAAGGGCTCTTGGTGGCAACCAAGAGGTTCCAGCTGCGGCAACTCTGCAGTGAAACCCTAAAGGCTCCCCGAGTCCTCCCCTGATCCGACTGCCCATAAGAGTGCCATCCGGAGGCTCTCCTTCTCTCAGCTGCTATCGCCCATCTCTCTGCTGCCTTTTCCCCCCCAGAACACTGGCGCATGGCCGAGTTGTAGGCCTTTGCGTGCAGTTGAGGGGGTCTCGACTACGGCAACTCTGCAGCAGACACCTGAACGCCCCACTGGTCTCTTCCTGGCCCAACCGCCCGTAAGGGTGCCAGCTGAACGTCTCCCCAACCAACCCTTTTTGCTTTATTTCATCCTGACACTGTCTCTCCTCAGTCTCTGAGACGCTGGTCCACGGTCCCTTCCCTGCAAGACCTCCTCAGCACACACTCCCCGCCAGCTTCAAGACTTTTTAAGGTAAGAACATGGAACTTAGTCTCTACAGAACATCCCTTGTTACTCAGGTTAAGATCTACTGGCATTTGGCCTACCCTCTCTTACCATCTTATTGGGATCTCTTTTTAGTTTTTTTATTATATTATTATTATTAGGTGAGCCATCCTGCCACCTGTTGGCAGCTCAGCGACAGCTCAGCTCAGGCCAGGAATTTAACCGCTGTTGCTCAGAGCTCGCACTCTTAACCAACTGAGCCACTCGGCAGGCCCTCTTTTTAGTTTTAAAGCGCAGATGGAACTGCTTTGAATTTCCCACTTTATGTCTCTGTTGTTTTTGCGCCCTTTCCTTCCATTGCCCATACTCCAATGACTGTTTAGTGGCCTGAGTCCATCTAGGGCTCCACCCTGGAGGTCCNCTCAGAGCTCAAACTCTTGAGCGAGCTCTTAACCAACTGAGCCACTCGGCCGGCCCCTTGAAGAAAATTTTTTAATGCCCACAGAATTTCTTCATTTTTTATGCTTGCAGAATATTCTATTGCATAGATGTACCATGTTTTGACTAACCAATTATTTACACAAAAGGGGCATCTTAATTAAAACTTACTATTACTAAGTCTAAGTGAGACTTCATATCATGAAGTAGCTCTATACTATACTATGATTTTATGATGCTTCATAATGCTTTTGGTGATTGGCAAAGAGCTATATAGACTTCGTGAATGGTTAAATATCATTGGATATTGTGTTCTGAAACTGACCCCTATTGAGTACAGTTCACTTCTCATGTCTCAAATACTATATAATGAAGGCTTTTGGTAGAATCTTACCTGGAGCAATGCTAAGGTGGAGACCCCACACTTCTTCTTTAGCTCTGCGGTGATCTTTTCGAGACTGCAGATACATTCCGAGAGCCTGACTTCACTTTCCTTCAGTTTGTTCATGTTCTCTCTCCCCACATTGTTCAGTCTCTGTAGAAGCATCTCCTTATTACTATTTAGTAAATGGCATTTTCTCTTACATGCTAATTCGGCCATCTTGTTAAAAAACCTGCTTTACTGCCTGCCAACCCCGAAACAGACAGAATTAGATAAGGCCAGGATATCCCTGTGTCAACCAGGACACCTCAACAGAAACTTGATTCTTTGATACAATGTATTTATGTTGACATAGATGGTGTGTGTGTAGTCCACTTATTCAGATAATAGCCGAGACCTAAAACAGATCATTTTTTTTAACTGTGCAGTTTTGTTTTCCAAGTTTCCTATTTACTTCATTAAAGATTTAAATAAAAAATTAAATATAAAAAAGAATTAAATAATTAAGCCACTGATATCAGCTTTTTTAAAATCGTTTCTTGACTTAAGCACATCAGTACATGTTCATGTTATTTTTTCTTAAAGAACACAAATAATGGCATACTATTCTGTATTGCCAATCTGACAAATGTTTTCCCTTAATAAATAATATGTTCTTGGAGAGCATACCTTATTCATACACAGAGCCATGTTATCTCTTCTAAATGCTAAAGAACAATTTTATGTACATAATTTACTTTATAAGTCCCATAGTGATGGATATAGGTTGTATCTAATCTTGTGCTATCAGTAATAATACCTAATACTCATCTAGCACATAATACATATATAACATATAAACACTAGAGAGCTTTATGTAGACTATCATACTCAATCCTCACAGCAGTATTATGAACCAGGGGCCATTATTATCCCCACTTAATAGCTAAGGAAACCGAGTCAGGTGTTAAGTAACAAGTCCAAGGCTACATACAGGTTAGTAAATAGCAGACCCCAGACAGGAACCTCATTGATTCAACTTCAAAGACTACCTCTAAGCGAGGCTCTAGACTAAAATAATTTTACAGTGTTCCCTTATCTATGTGTCTTTTTATATGCATGTAAGTACATTTGCAATAAATTCTCAGAAATAGAATTGCTACGTGAGTATATACATCCTTTAAAAAAACATATGTGGCTGCCACGAGGTGTCTTATTGTAAAACTGACATGTTCATCTCTTTCTCTCATTTCCCAAATTTTGTAAGGATGCCATTTTCAACATCTCACCTGTAGTGTTTCATGGAACTTCTTCTCTAACTCTACCATTTGACTCTGATTGGTTTCTCTCAAGTTCTGGTTGAATATGCACCCTTGCAGGCTCTCGAAGTTCATCTCATTGTCTTCTGCCATCAACTGAAACATCATCTTATATTCAGACTCAATCATCTCTTTCAAATTCTGCTCCTCTCCCTTCATCACAGATATAGATATGATAGACTTCAGGTTAAACACCACAGATTGACCATAAACATTTATCTCTTCCCATCTTTAACTTCAAAATAAAGACAAGGAAATAAAAAGTATGAAGACAAAGGAAATTTCAGAGTCAAGATCAACTAAGATATCAACACAAACCTAGAAAACATGAAACACAGATGGAGGAATACTAATTGACTGAGGGAACTGAGGAATCTACAACCTCAGTGACCAAGTAGATGGAAACCAGAAAAACTGAAAGGCATAGCCAACACTTGCTGATGCTTTGAATAAGGGTCACGAGAAAAGAGGAATCAATGGGTTACTCCAAGGTTTTTAGACTTAACCAACTGGAAGAATGGAGTTGCCAAAACACAGAAAGAAAAACTGTGGAAGGGATAGATTCCAGAGGTGCGAAATGTACGAGCTGAGTTTCAGATATGCTGATTTTGATTAGTCAATTAGCTAGGTGAGGAGAGATGTCCAGTAGGAAGGCAGATATGAAAGTCTATTATTTGGAAGGCTGAGCTGGAGATGTACATTGGGAATAGTAAGCTTAGTGACAAAATGTAATCTCATGACATTCGATGGAATGAAGGTTTATCAAGAACCTGACCACTTTCCCCCTCTACCACTACCCCAGCAGTTCACCATCACCTGTCCCTGATTAGAACAACACTCCCCTTTCAGGTTTCCCCACCTCCACGCTCACCCTCCTACAGTCTATTCTCACTTCAGCTGCTAGAGTGTTTCTGTGAAAATAGAAATGAGATCATGTCACTCCTCTGTTCAAAATTTTCCAGTGGTTTCCTTATTTCATTGCAAGTAACTGCCCTACATGACTTGGCCCCTTTATCTTCTCACCTCATCATCTTCTAGTCTGCACTTCCTTCACACAGCCCCAACCACGTAAATGCAAATCTTGAGACCTTTATATTGTGCTTGCCCTTCCATCTGCCTAGTATATTCTTTCCAACACTGCATGGCTCAATTCCTCACTTCCTTCAGTTTTCTCAAATGCCACTTTCTGAATGAAAAGGTGCCTATCACTTTATTTAAAAGTGCCCCCCATTACCCTTCCTGTTCAAAACAAAGTTTATAGCACTTAGTATGTAACATACTATATGCATTTTGCTTGTTTTGTTTACCTCCAGTACAATGTCAGTTGCATGAAGGCAGATTTCCCCCTCCCCCCCACTTATGAATCCCCAGCACCTAGCCTAGTTCTTGGCAAATAATGGGACACCAATGTTTGTTGAATACATGGTGCTTGGGGTGAAAAAAATAGGGATCAGTTGAAAAATTATTTTACAGACTGGCAATTCTCATCCTCTACTACCTGCAATTGGGTATTTTCTTTAAAAATTGATAAAGGGAAGACCCAAAATCCAAAATACCTGTCACAAAATAGAGTTAAATATGAAGAAGAAAGCTTGAAATCAGAAGTGAAACGTGCATAATAGATGGTAAGCCCTCAATTTGGATTGTAATTCTCAGATTGCCCTTTAAAATGGTTTCAGGATTTATACTGCCACCAAAAATACATGAGATATTTATTCTCATATAGCGCAGTTATAACATGATAAAGTGTTATCAATCTTTTTGATCTTTGCCAATAAGGGTTACAAATGCGATCTCACTACCAAATTAAACACAATTATTTTGTATTTCTCCTACCATGGGCAAAGTTCACGATCTTCTTGTATGTTCAAAAGATATTTGCATTTTCTTTTCTGTGAACTCTCATTTCTTTGATCATTTTTCTATTAAGTTTCTGATCTTTCGCTTTTTGATTTTTAAGCGCTCTTTATACGTTAAGAAATTAACAGTTTTCCTACATATGGATTTCACATATTTTTTTTCCTTCTTTGTCATTTGTCTTTTGACTTTGTTTATATTATTTGGTATCCAACATTATAGGTAATTTCCCCCTAAGAATCAAGATAAGCACTGACCTGAACCATCACCATTCTTTCTTGCTCATCAGCTAATAGGCTTTTAGCTATTTCAAGTTTCTCCATCAATGTGATCAATAGCTCCTGGAACAATTTCTGCAGAGAAATAGATCACAGAATTACAGGTAAAGTAATTGCTTTAGAACAGTTAGATTCCCAGCTTTAGACAACTGAGAGGCCAGTAGCCTTGACCATGTTTTCTTAGCCTGGAAGTTGGACGTCTTAATATGTTGTCTAGTGTTTTTCGCTAAACTAGGGGAATGGTCTTAGACTATCTATCTTAGAGGATCAGACTATCTGCCCCCCAAATAAATAAGTTAATAAATAAGAGGAGGCAGCCTGAGTGCTCTGGGGTCTGGAAGAAGCTTACCCTATACTTCTCAGCAGCCTCTTGTACTCCATACACGATGTGATCCTTACGCTCCTGGGACTGGAAGCACTTGTCACAAAGCGTGATTTGGTCCTCATCGCAGAACAGCAGGTGCGGTTCCCGGTGTTTCTCACAGTAGGCATCTTCTGGGATTTGCTGCTGTAACTGGAGGCTGGGCTTCTTGGACATCCCGGCAGGTATCCTTTGTTGAAGATCAGGCAGTTTCTGATGTGGAATGCTTCCCTGCACTCTGCGGAACAAGAGAAGAGTGCGGCGCTCTGGGGCAGACACACTGGCTGGTCAAGCTCAGCGTCCACAGGCAATATTAGATCATTGCATCATGGACTCCTCAAATTGAATGCACATTCCCTTCAGGGGAAGGAGACATAAGGAGTTACACCACCGTTCTAGGATTAGAAGGGCATTCTCAAGTTTTCTGAGAATTTTGAGCAATTGGCTAAAAATTACTTACAAGTGAAAACATAACACACCATTTCCCTGTAATTATTAAAAAATAAAAGAAAGAAAGAAAGAAAGAAAGAAAGAAAGAAAGAAAGAAAGAAAGAAAGAAAGAAAGAAAGAAAGAAAGAAAGAAAGAAAGAAAAAGGAAAAAAGAAAAAAAAGCGGGGGAAATGGTGCTCAACAGAGGGCACAATGCCTTATAAACATTGGAGTAACTTCCGGAACTAGGGTGAGGCAAAGTCTGGCGTTAGACATTCAGGCCACAAATTTAAGGAACCACTCACTTTTCCAGTGTTTCCAGTAGCCAGAATAGGAGAGGCTCTTTGAATGCGTCCTTAAATATGAAAGGCGCTTGGGTGTCCAATTTAAGGAGGTACTCACTTTCTGGTTTCAAAGTTGCGCAGGAGCCTGGGAGTGAGGCATCTCAAATTTGGCGCTAAAAGCCGGAAAGCCAAAGGTGTGCCTCATTCGAGAATTGGCCTTTAAAGGGCATTGGTTAAAAATAAAGTGACCCCCCCACACACACAACGAAATAGATGATAATTTTTCCAAATACTAAAGGGAAATTGCATGTTTTTTTTGTTTTTTTTTAAAGGGAAATAGAGCAAGAAATTCTCCTGCATCCTCATTCCTAGATAATCGTCTGATTACCTTTGAGCAACAAGCCTACCTTTTCTCTAGAAACATTTTAATTACATTCTGAAAACATTACCTACTGAATTCAGGGAACCCTTCTCCGATAAAGAATCACCTTAGTTGACATAGCTTCTTCATCTAACCCTATCTCCAGCTATTGTTGGGTGACACTGTGACACCAAGTATTAATTTCTCAAAATCCTATATATTGACATTTGTCCTCATTTCACCTTATCGACCAGCTTTTTTGACAATATCTCCTGAAACAGGTCAACCTGACATATCTCAAAACTCCCAAATTTCCAATTTTTGGGTTTTACTAGCTTTCCACCTCCTCTCATGCGCTCACTCCTACCCAAATGTTTTTTGCCATCAATTAGACCTCCTGTCTTTTCATTTATTGTTTATTTAATTTTTAAGATATGTAAAACATGTTCACAATTCTGAAGTTGATTAATCCTGTATAGATGCCTTTTTTGTCATTGTTATTTTGTTAGGGTGCATATTACAGCAGCAGTTTTAAAAGTGTGGTTCCC